TTGTCCAAATTTGTTGGTTCCTGACGCTCTATATTTGCTCTGTTTCGGAAGGGTTTACAACCTTGCGGTCTGCTTGGTGTGAATTTGAGCAAATTAAACGAAATTTGCAGGTAATTTGACAAAATACTACCGTAATGGTGGAAATAATTGTCTTTTTCCCGCTATTTCGGGTGAGTTCGACTACAAGTCGATTTACTTTATCTGTTTTCGATTATTTAGCGAAGAAGTAGCGATTGAAATCCGCGAAGGTTCCACTTTAGGAGCAAAAGTTGCAACTTTCTTGAGTTTAAAGGGAATATTTGTCATTACACATCTGCTTTGTGTGCCCAGGGGACAGACCAAGTGCGCCCGGGACGCCAGGCTTGCAGTTCTTCGGCTCGGGCATCTACAAGGTGGTGTGGGAGGCGCCCCAGGACAACGGCGCCCCCATCGAGCTGTACTCCTTGGAAAGTTTGGCGCTGCACTGGTATCGCAACAAGCGCAGCATGTCCACGCCTCGTAACCGGAGCGCCTGGTTTGCGAACGCTCCCTCAGTGGAGGAGGAGCCAGACGAGGAGGCCCAATGGGAGGAGGTGTACAATGGAACAGGTAGGTTGCGCCTTATTAGCCCTGCGCGGTTGGTTAATGAAACTGGTGTGCAGATAATTCCTGGATAATCGGCGGCTTGGACAAGCAGTACAAGTACGCCTTTCGCGTGTCCGCCCTGAACTCCTACGGATGGAGCGATCCCAGTGCCGAGAGCACGGAGTTTGACGTCGGGGAGGCCGAACGCATGTCGCAAAAGAACCCGATGGATCTGATCTTTATTGCCACGTTCCTGCCCATTTCCGTTTGCATCCTGATCGTCATTTGCTTCGGCTATGGTAAGTGGGGCTGCGCCCACCCTTTCGCTGGTTGATTGACACCTGCATTTGCAGTGGCCTACTCGAGGCGGCGCCGCAAGCAGAAGAAAATCGAGCACGTGATTCAGATCCCCAGAGGGCCGGACGTGGAGTTGGCCACTTTGCGTGAGTTGCCCAGAAGGGGCGTGCACAACACCAACATTCTGTACGTTTCGTCCACGCCGGATGGCGACGATCTGGCCAAGTTGCCGCACATCCGGCGCGACCGCATTTCGCTCAACAAGTTCCTGGGCAGCGGAGCGTTCGGCGAAGTGTTCGAGGGCACGGCCAAGATCGGGGGCGACAGCGCGCTCGAGACCAAAGTGGCGGTGAAGACGCTGAAGAAAGCGGCCTCCGACCAGGAGAAGACGGACTTTCTGCAGGAGGCGCAGCTGATGAGCCACTTCAAGCACGATCACATCCTGGAACTGTTGGGCGTTTGTCTGGACAACGACCCCCAGTTTCTCATTATGGAGCTGATGGAAGGCGGCGATTTGCTCACGTATTTGCGCAACTCCAGGGGCCACTTGGTAAGTTGGAATGGAATAAGCGTTAATTCTGATTTGTTTTTCTGACTGCGTGTACTTGTTATTATAGTCTTATCTTTACTGGTCCTCAGTCACAGTGTTAAGTAAACATTTTTGAATATCGATTATTTACGTTAGAACGTTATATAAAAACTATAATTTATAAAGCGTTAAAACATTCATCAGTTCTGGAGGAAAAAAATTCTGGGACAGCAAAACATTTGAAAAACTTACCTCATAATTGGTATACATGCATGTATAAATATTAACGTTCTTTTAGGTCTTTGCCTTCTTGAAACCTTAAATTTGTCTGAATTATTTTCTACATTTGCGAGAGTGGCATGCATGTATTGAGATAAGCAGAAATAGTTTTAATTTTTACCATTGTACAGGGTGTTCCATACTTATGGCTTTATTAGGGTTTGGTAAATCTTGCTAAGGTTGTTGGTATCTGATCTGAAATTTACTGATTTTGCATGTTTTTGAAGTGATAACTTTTTATGGGAGGGTGAACCGATATTTCTCAGTCACGGTGGCTCCCACTCCGGCCTCTTCGCGCCTGAGGCTTGGGACGCACATATGCACTTTGAATTCGACATTTTTCTCTTAGTGCGGGTGCATCTGTAGATCTGATAAACTTTTCAAATACACATTGCGTTATTAAACTGACAGTGACTGATTTATCAATTATTGAGTGTGATATTATTGTGTTCGGTGCAGTTTATTTTCTAACGCTGATAACAATGAAACAACAAATAATCAAGGTAAAAGCTGCAGATACTGCAAATACTAGGTTAAGGGTGCTCATGTACTATATGCCTGTCCGAGTTTCGCCTTCTTTTTAATTTCCAATTAAAGTACACACACACTTATACACACTAAAGCAGTTTAAGTGCAAAAAAATACGGATCGTCCATCAATTTGCAGAAAAATGTATTACAATCTTTTGAAAATCATCTTCAAACGACTGGGTATTTATCATTGCAAATGAGATTGCACATTGCCGTGCACTGTTAAATATTGTTTTAAGAACTAACAATCGATGTTGTGCAACAAAATTGTGCCT